TTTTGACACGAGGTGCCCCCGAAGCCCCCACAAAGCGATCAACTCCGCCTACCAGCTCGCAAAGCACTGCCGCACACCCACACACGTCTGCAAAAACAATCCCGGGAGCACATCGCACTCCTGCTGGTGCCAATCCGCGTCAGGGACGGTTGCGTTCATCGAGGGTTCGAGAAAAAAACAGGTCGACGTTGGTCCGAAAACAAGCACAGGAGTGATTGCCAACATAACAGCAGTCGGGCGCCCCACCCGTGAAGGGGAGGTTTAGGGCTGCCTGTGTTGGGGGATTTGTTCTGGAGCTCTTGCAGCAGCAAGCGAAAATGAGGCTTCTCGAACCTAAAAAGCTCCTTGAAGTCGAAGCCTCCGATAGCGTCGAAGATGTTGTACATCGGGTACACACCCTGCAGGGTTGTAGGCGCTACTAGCTCTTGGTAGGCCTCCAGTTTGACAAGACCAAACATGGTCATCACGAGAAACAAGTCCTCCTCTCCGGCCAATGCGCAGAGCAGGGCCAGAGCCATGATCTGCATGCATTCATCATACCGCTCATAGCGGATTCTACCTCGTTCAAGGCGCGCCATTCCCTCGGTTCGTAGCGTTTACGGGGTGGAGGCTCCGAGGCTCAGCCGTTAGGTTTTCGGTCTTGCGCTGAGTGTTTTTTTAAAATCGAGATTTCGCCGCTGCTGAGCTCCGAAAGGTAACAAGCGGCGAAATAAGTTCGTGTCAAAATATCAACCGTCACTTTTTTTTGACCCGAGCTGCCTTGTGTCAAAATTCTCGGGTCAAAAAAAGGTGGGAACCCTAGAATGTCTCAAATGCAACATGTGTGGATGTTGCTGTTGGTGCTGGTTTCGATGTTGCGTTGACCGTACGGTGTAAAATTCGTGCTCTACACTCTTCGCCGGCGCCGGCGGAAGTTTTCGTTTTATTTTGGCCGACCGACCAGACCAACCTAATCCCACTCAACACTCAACACTCAACACTCAACACTCAACACCCTGCCTGGAGGTGTGAGAAGAACTTTAGAACACCTCGGGTACGTTTCGTCCGATTACACGAACTGAACATGTAGAGGCGTTGATTCCCACGTGCTGGAACCATCGTGTCAATTTCTCTGCTTCGATCACCCTCAGATGTTCCTATTATAGCAAACTTGCACTTCCTACTGTTTTACCTTACTTTCCCGTGCGCAGAGAATCCATAACCACCACCACCATCACCACCGGCTGCGGCGCATTTCCTCTTCTTCGAAAATGGGCAAAGACAAGAACTCCTCCTCCTCCTATTACTCGCCATCCGGTAAGAAGTCTTCGTCCTCGGCATACTCCTCCTCCTCGTCGTACTCCTCGCCCTCGTACGCCTCCTCCTACCCGTCCTCCTACTCCTCCTCCTACTCCTCCTCCTTGTACTCCTCCTCCTCCTCCTCCTCCTCCTCCTCNAGCCTCCGCCTCTTCTTCCTCCGGCGCCTCGGCGTCTTCTTCTTCCGTTTCGTCGTCGTCGTCGTCCTACTACGGCAATAAGCCGGTGGTGTACTCGCTCGCCGAACCTCGAGGGTGGCAGGAAGTACGTCGGAAAGACGAACAACTTCGAGGCGTGCATGAACCAGCACTTTAGCGGAAACGGTGCCAAGTGGGCCCAGCAGAACAAGTCAGCGTCACTTCCCTGTGTCTCTGTTGGAATATATATGTATATAAGTATTTAGTCCACTGGTTTAGATTCGAGGTATCTCTCTTCGCTTGTTGTATTTTGACATTTTGACGATTCGCCGTTAACCGGTGGACTGCTTTACTCTCAATAGCTTCAAGCATGTTCCCATCCTCGCACCAAGCCCGTAGAACGAATCCATGAGGAAGACCATCGGCTTTCTACATTTGCCGGGGGGGGGGGGGGGGGGGGGNAAGAAGTGGTCTTGGTGTTCTCGTGTGTGGCCGCATGTTATCACCAACGATCCTCTGGTGCCCCTTCGTAGGAATGGCGCACGGTCCCCTAAGGAACATTCTCGGCGTATCTTCTTTGATCCCTGATTTACGTCACACCCCCTTCAGGAAAAAAATGCAGCCAAAATCGAGGCCACCGAAACCCTTTGACAGCTCTCTGACTTAACACCGCTGCCTTTTGGATGCTGCTTACTTGCTTCCGTTTCAAAAAACAAACAAAACGCAGGCCCGTCGCCGTCAACCACACGCAGGTGTGTCGCTCCAACGAGACTGCCAAGGCGGTCGAGTCCATCGTGTAACGCAACATGAGCAAGTACCACGGAAAGGACAACGTGCGTGACGCCGGCCACACCAAGACCACCTAGCGCTTTCTACGGTACACGACAGAACGTCTTCACGACAACTGGGGTGAGTGAGACGGGTGTCAGCACTGGTGGCAATGCCACCGCGGTTTCGGTGTTTGAGACGCCTGGTTCTGTTGATTTGGTCTTGAACGAACGGCTTTCCGCGATTCCAATATGGGGCCCTCGATGGGGTACAACCTGCTGCTTGCTGAACTCTACTGGAAGGCGTTTCCTTTTTCTGGGGGGGCGGGGAAAGGATCACACCTGACTTCACTTGTCTGGCCAGGTCCGTCGGTAGTCTGTCGTGCATCATGCCGCCAATACCTGTTATCGGTCGAGACGAGCTATTGTACTTGAAGCCGTGTCAAAGTCTGCTTGGCGACCGTACGACTATTACTTGGGTTGCTTTTCGACGGAAATCCCGTGCTATTTAGGACTTTGCGCGCCTTGCTTCGCTAGGATGGTTTTGTGGATTTGCGTACCACGTCAACAATACCCAAAGTTACCACCCCTTTTGAGCCATGGCACCCCCTAGGCATTTGACGAGCGAGGAAAGCGCTCCCGGCTGTGTCACAAAGTTGTCCCTTTTCACCGTACTTTGCCACAAACAAAATGATACCGTGAGGAAGAAGCCCATCTACTTGCTGATCCGTTGTTTAGCAGGGAAAGTCAACCCGATTTTTTCCAGTCTCCTTTTTTTTCGTTATCATCCACTTCACCCTCCCTCTCTCCCTCCCTCTCTCCCTCCCTCCCTCGGTCCTTCCGTCCCGCCCACGCTCCCCTTCAACCCAAAGCTACCTTGTCCAGAGTGCGAGTCTTGCGAAGTCGAAGGCCGTCGTTGATGACCTAGCTAGGCAGACACAAGAGGCAAGATCACGTCGTCAAGGCACTTCCAAGGCCGGAAATGCCGGCCAAAATATATTGAACTTGTACGTAGAATTAGGTTCATGCAGTCCGGGTTCCAACCAGAGTGTCGCGCTGTCTTTCTCAGGAAACAGGAAACAAGGGGGGGGGGAAGTCTGCATTTATGGCATGTATCATTTGAATATGCGACGCCGTCGCACACTTTAGAAGCCCAACTTAGCAGCGCTTGGTGGGTCAGTCGTACAGAGTGGCGAGAGGTTCGCACAGCCGCAGGGTGGGTGTCGGCTGTTTTTTTTTTTTCTCCCATCATTGGACTCTGTCGTCTGCCCCTCTGGCCCCTATCCTCCACTTCTACTAGCTAGACGACCCAACCGGGGTCACACAGGAGGGTATGTACAGTACTGGATGCATTTTTTTTGTCCGGGTGAGTTAAGTTTCTGCAAGCAAGAAGCGCGTGTTTATCGGCGTTCGTTGGGTAGGGTTTTTGTTTTGTACAGCCCTGCAACAGGACGCCACGGGCCGGTGAAGTAACCTCTTGATAGTAAATGGAACGGCGTCATTGCGCAATAATGTCTGGGGCGGGGTTGTCGAGGGGGTTGTTCGGAAGACGCTGGAAACTCGTGGGGAGTGTCTCGTGATTGAGGAGTAATTGAAGCCTGTGCATTGATTTGGCAATGAACCGGATCGACCATATTATTCTTGTTTGAGTGTGGGCACGTGTCCCGACAACTAGCTGAGTAAGGTCGTTCGTTCGTTACGAGTGAGTGCTGCTGTATGCATAGAATGCTGGGGAATATATAGGAGCGTGGTTCCGGCGTTCGCTTTCTCGGTCTTTTTAGTCCAACGGAGTAATTTTCCAAGCGATGGTTCCCGCAGTGCCTCGTTTTCATCAATCGCAGCACTGGAACCGTTTGTTGGTTCTGGCTGTCTTTACGAGGGCGGGCATGCATGTATGTGGTAAAAATGCCGTCATTTGGTGACAGTCATGTCATACTACGTGCAACTCTTCTTGTAATGATGCGAGAAGATAGCAGCACTCTCTTCCCTCTGTGTACACTCGAACTCGCTTTTCACCCAGGTCAGGAACGGAGGAAGGGCGAGAAAAACTCACTTTGCAAGAAAAAATCGCTAGCGCCGGGATTCGAAAACCCTGACCAAGTGGCCTACAGAAATCAAAGTATAATCAGAAGGGAAGCGGATGTGGTCCGCAGCGAAATTTCCAAGACCAACGCAATCCCAAAGCTAGCTCTCGCCTAACCATCGTTTTCCGCGGTGCGGGAAGATGTCGGACAAAATTAGGATAAAGGGGAAGCGCTTGCTTGCTCATTCTCCGTATTTTTTTAGCTTCGGTGTTCTTCTTTGTTTCGTTATTTCTTATCGTACAGCAGAAAACCCATCTCTGGTAGTTGTTATCTGAAGCAAGTCTACAGATGAAAATTGTGATGGTTTCACGATAAGCCGAGGGTCCCGACCTTCGTTTGCTCAAAACATATGGCTTGAATAAAGAACGCCGAATGGATGCGCCAACGACTTAAGCAGGACACGTCAGTCTCTCAACCGTCCTACGCACACCACAGCACCACGCACTGAATAGTAGAAGCAAGCGTGAGTGTCTACAGTAGCACTAGAGCGGATGCTGCCCGCACTCCCGGTCATTTCCGGCTGGGATGAGAATCGAGGGCTTGGTGAGAAACGGAAGCCAAATCATTTGTACACCCTGCCTGCCAGTAGATCGGCAAAAATATCTACTGAACAACAGGCGCGTTGTCCCATGTTGACACTTTTTTTCATTGGCTGCCTCTTCGAGGCCCAACACCCAAGACAAAAGGACAAAACCAAGAAACGTGGATGATCTTGATGAAACATTTAACAAGGACAAGGAAATCATGCGAAAGCCCACGACAACAAAACCAACCAAGAAAGTTAGGACAAGACCCCATGTCTCCTTCTTGCACGCCACCCGCGCACACACTACGTACGTACGTACGTACCCACGACGTTTCCGACCCCCTCCGCCCGCCACAATTTACTCTCGGCGTCTATCGCGAAGGCCGCGCACCCCCCGCCCCCCGCCATGGAAGGCAACTTTCGATACTACCACTACGCACGAAAAATAAAACTAGAACAAAGATTTTACCGTACTACTCCCGATGCATGAAAACAGAGCACGACGTCAACCCCCAAGGTGTAAACGTCACCACAACGCCCGAAAGAAACTACTACAGCTGTAGGAGACGGCTACAGCCACCCCACCAGATAGGAGGGTGATACAACTCCAAAGCCGCAACCAACAACCAAAGCGGCTCAGCAGCAACAGCAGCAGCAGCAGCAGCAGCAACAATGTACCGGTGCGCGACGAGCAGAGATGAGTTCATCGAAGTGCGAAGGTCAACCAACAAACGTAAAGTAAATGGAGTAAATGCGCTTTTAGCCAACGTGAGTTTCCCTGTAGTTTGTGACTTAAATTTTGTCGCGTGAACGGCGGCCAGACACGAAAAGAAAAAAAAAAAACACACGATCGACCACACGATGCACGCAGGCACGCAGGTGTACACTGCTTGGCAGGCGCATACACGCACGGGGCGGCTTGCGGGCTTAACAATGAATCGCACGGCTTCACGCCTCATCTACATACATGTGCTGATGACGTGCAGGACATCTAACGGCGGGCCTCCTTCTCTTCCCCTCTTTGCGTTGTCTATAACAACACCCGGGAAGGCTACGGCATGACATGATCAAAGAGGCAAACAAGACGATGTGAGGCCACGGCACGGACATGGGCCACCCTCGGCAATCCAGCAACCCACACAACTGACATCAAGGTAACACGTTACTTTTGGAATCGGCTGTCTGCACCAACTTTTCTCATTGAGACGTAGAGGTGACATGCCGAAAACCGTCCATTCTCACTCTCATGTGCCCGACAAAGGGCAATCAATGAACAGCAGTTTGGCAGCGGGCCGCGGAGCAACTCGGTACAACCTGTCGCAAAGAACAGATCACGGCGCAGAGGGACCATCAACTTTGTTCCACATGTTCTCCCTCTACCCCCTTCCGACGAACGTTCTCTCGTGCCTTGCGACGCCGTACAGGGACAGCACTCAGGCAGCGTATGTATACGTTGTGCTGGCTACTCTCGAAACACGCCTGACTGCACTGCCCGTTCTGATGTCGCAGACCTCCTCCTTTCTCCTCCTGTAGGATAAGAAACAGAAAATAACAAAATGCAACTATGCTACAAAAAACACGCTTTGGAACACGAACAAGTAGGTCACACACACGCGCTCGTTCGCAAAAAAAACACCGCGGTCTTCGGCCTCTACACGAACACCCCTCCCCCCCGCCCAACACCAGGCATGCCAGACAGGGTTTCCACTTTCTTTCACAGCTGACAGCAGGCAGATTCGCGCCACAAGAAATAAAGAGACAAGGACAAAACAGGGATCATATGAAACTTTTTATAGCTACTCTCCGCTCATAGCGCACTACTATGCATACTACGTTCATGGCCAGGACGGACCTCTCAGCATACAAAGACTCGCCGCCCCCGGCCGCCAGGCAAGGTTTACCAGCGGATGATACCGGTGCTGTGGCACGTGTGGTACGCCGCTGCCAAACACATCTGAATAAGACCCAGGCACGGCTGTTGCACCTTTCCGGCGCTGCTATCCACACACGGCTCTTGCGTGCACAACAAAGGCAGAGTCACTCTCTCTCGGTACCCCACCAGCGAACGAATCCAACTACATTACCACCATCAAAATCGCCCC